GAGGACTGTAAATGTTCTTTAAAGTGAAGGGAAGGAGGGGAAAAAGCCTTACCTTTATTAAAGAATTTGGATCAGTATAGTTAATTAAAAAATTGCAGCCTACAGTTTGGTTGGTGATTCTGAGAAGGAAATGCATTGGATTTTGGAGTTTAAGCAAGAGGGTTTCTGTTCCTGAGTCTCCTAATATCTAGAACATAGAGAAAAGATAACCAAAGGGCTAAGAAGTGCCCACGACAATCACATAATTGTTGCAGTATCAGTTTGTGATGAATTTATAATGTGTGAGAAAAACCATTCTATGTGTTTTTTTGGCGGACTGTTTAAATTAGTACCATCTGATAAAAATATAATGTAAGCTACACATGTAATTTTAAGTTTCCTAGTAGCTTCATTTAAAATACGTTAAAGAAACAGGTGAAATAAATTTCAATAATATTAGTTTTAACTCTAAATCCAAAATGCTATTTCCATGTGCAATTAATTTTTTAAAATTATTCATAATATATATTTGGTTTTATTTTTTATTTTTTTGGTAGTAAGCCCTTCTAATGAAGTCTATTTTACACCTATGGCATATCTCACTTCAAGATAAGATATATTTAAGGGCTCACTTGCCACATGTGTTTAGTGACTACTGTTTTGGATGTGCAGTTTGAGAGCATGAAGTTAGGTGCTTCTTGACATGTCACCTTTGGCTATGGGCAGGTTGAACTCTTCAAGCCATTATTATTTGCATAATAGGACATACCATGATTATTTGTATCATTTGGCTATACCATGATGAGACATTCAGTGACCATCATCATTACTTTTATTTTTTAAATGTTTTTTAGTTTGTATCATAACGTTGCATATAGATTCTAAAAAAAATTGGTTTCTTTTTTTCCCCTTGGTAAATTATACTGATAACTAAAAAAAAAAAAAAAAAAAAAAAGAAAAATAGATTCCATTGTTTGAGAACTGTGTGTCAAAGAAACACATTATATAGTTGAATTCTCTCGACAACTCTGACATAGAGATTATTGTTTGCATTTTAGCTGGAGGAATTTGAGCCTTAGAGAGGACAGATAAAGCACCCATAGTCACTTACACAGATAAGGAGAGACACTGTCAGGATCCCACCCAAGGATCACCTACTTCCAACTTGCTGCTGTTCACCACCACATCTAACCACCTTCCCACATGTACCAGTTCACATGGTTGCTGTGGTGCAACAACGACCACAGCTACACATTTTTTTCAGAAATAGTATCATTATGAAATGGCAGTTTCAGCATCATTGCTAATGACAGCTGGAAAAGTGCATTTTTCCTAATAGAGAGAGGGGTCCAGGTTTATTTTGCCTCTATGACAACAGAATTCACCATATATCCCAATCGCCAGAGTAAGTCTTAGCTTGGAGCAAATGGCTCGGGCCTGGGTGCCTGTCCTCCAGATTGAACTACCTGCCTGCCTCCTGCAATTGTAAAAGGCTTAGCAAGGCTTAGAATCAAAAGGTCCAAAGTTCTCTACTTGATCAACTGGAAATGGGTCTGTGTTTCAATAAAAAGAAAACTAATGCTGTAAGCTCAAGATACAGGGTTAGAATAAGAGTTTTTCTGTTTTCTGCTTCTTGACCATTTCTGAATTTTGTTGTAAATGCATCTTATTTTACATTGGTTTCTTTCATCAGAACTTATCTTTTAATTCTTCCCATTTTGAATCTATTTTTTGAAGTCTTTCTAAACACCTTCACTATCTTCCCATCTACTGTCCCTTTCTCCTCTTTCTTTTTCTTTTTTTGCTTAGTGAGAATCTTGTGACCAAATAGATAAATATCTCTTTTTAGAGGCATATATTTCTACTCATCCTTTTCCCCCTTCTCTATACTCATTTTCTACTCATCCTTTTATGGCTTGTCTCCTATAGGGATTTCCTGTTTTTGAAGGCTTTAAACCTATGCCTGAAGCTTCTTGCCATCCTTGATTTTCGTTGTACAATTTTACTGTTTTTCATTTTTCTTGTCATTCCCACGGGAAACTGCATTTATTTTTCCTGACTTCATTTTTTTTTCTAAAAACTGCTTTTCATTATACAACCATAATTGTTTGGGTTGATCAAGTTCTAATAAGAAGGTACATTTTTCTGTGGGTTAAATATAACCTGTTTGTGATATTCCTGGGTGTCTCATATATATGTGCTTCAGAACGAATCCTATTATCATGCATTCCTTGTTAATGTTGTTTTATTTTATAAATGACTTCAAAGTCCTTTGCTTTTACCCAAGTAGGTGATGCCTGTTGGGGATGGGCTTGCTTTTTGACTGTAAGGAGTTATTGCTATTGTGTCAGGTGACAATTACTTCCTTCAGTCACTGAACTAAAATGCTTAGAAAATATCTCACTTACTGACAATAGTAAAACACAAGTTTCTACATGTTATAGAGCTCTGTGTTTTTATGTTTTATTTCACATGTGACTGATTGAACTGTTAATATTATCTTCAAAAATTGATAGGATCTTAAGTTTTTTCAGTTGACTATAGACTTGAGAAAGATTTATGGTGTCTAAGTAATGGATACATGTTAGCTTATGGAGCAACTAGATTCATTTAAAGGTCTTATCTGTGATTCCCAGATGTGTGACACTCAGATGTTGACACTAGGAACTGCACATGGATTTTCATGATTGAAACTTATGTACACATAGGTATTAGTGGTTAAGTAGCTTATGGCACCACTGGCTACATGGCCCTATGTGTGCATATGCTTGAATCATTAGAAGTAGAAATCAACCTGCTTCCTTGGACAAAGATCATATACCAGTATGTAAGAGTTAAAAGGGCTAAATGGGGGCTATTCCCTGTTGGTAAGGCCTCTCTTGAATGGGTCCTATAAAATGCCATTATGCTTACTCAGGAAGATTTTACAATGCTGTCAACTATATGGAGAGCAGGAGTCATATAGACTTGTTCTCACTTATATCCCGGGAACCACAGGGGATAACTGGCACATAGTAGGTGTTCAGTGAATAAATGCTAGGCAAATGAATGGTGGCAGGGATAATTTGGAGGAAATCTAACTCATAATATTCATTACAAGTCTTAAATATGTTTGGTGATAAACTCACTATTAATAAATAAACATTTCATACACCAGAGTGGGTCACAATTAAAAACTATATTTTATAAAGCATCACATGGCCAGACTAAATCCTTTTATGTTTTTGAAAAATTGGTCTTCTCTATCCTTGTCTCATGTTTTTCATGAATCTGTGTAGATAGTGTAGCTGCAGACAGTAATCCTGCTTTGTTGTTCTCAGAGTGGACATTGAGTCAATAGCTGTCCCAGGTATGGTATGGTGAGACTTGTTAAGAGTGTTGTGCAGTCTTAATAATAATTACCATGATCTTTAGTGATAACGATTCTTAATGAGTATTATTATTGTTAATAATGATTATATTTAATAATTACACCCAATACTTATTATCTTTAATAATAATAATTAGCACATGGGAACCAGTTGTACCATTGTATTATCTTTAGAACAAAAACCTAAATCTGTGATCCCGTAGTTTGCAGAGTATCTGCTCCTACTCTCAGTTTTTCAAGATGGAAGTGAGTCAGGAGACTTGTAGGGTCAGGCAACAGGGAAGGGCTTCTGGAAACCTCCTAAGCATTCTGTTTGTCAGGGCCCTACTCTCCTACAGTCATTTCAAAGAGATCTTGTTTTCATTATGAAGTGCCTTCACTGAGATCATCCAACCCTCCACCTCCCCATCTCTGCCTGCCTACTCATCCTTCATAACTTTTGATTTTTTTCTTGCCCAAAGACCCAGAGCAGAACCCCATTTCATAACATACTAATTTGTGTGAATTATGTGGGGCAGAGTCCATGTTTATTACTTGTATGTTAGTAAAACTTTGATCTTCTTCTGCCTTGGCTATGTTTAGATTTAAATGCCTGTATGGCTTTTTTTTTTTTTTTTTTGAAAAATAAAAAACAGTTCAAAAAATGTTTGGTGAATTAAACATTTTTTAGCTTTTCACACTTTGATACAAAGCAGAGAAATATTTCAGTGACAACAGATTTCAACAGATTTTCAACTAGACTAATTTGCTTTATTCTTTAGGGTAGTTTACTTCTTTCTTCTGCAAACATAAGAAAAGATACTCTTTTTCCAGTAGTATCTGGTGTTAGTATATAATAATTTCAAAGAGGTGGAATTCTCTATTTGGATGTATATTTTTGACGAAAGTTAAATGTTAAGACTTTTCATGATCAGAGTATTTTCAGGCTAATTGATAACCAGGATTAAAGAAAAACCAAAATAAAACAATAACAACAGCCCAAAATATAGCCTACAGGAGGGACTTTTAAAATTTCTAAGCAATGTTGTGAGGCCCTAAGCAACTTAGTGAGACCCTGTCTCAAAATAAAAAATAAAAAGAGCTGGGGATGCATCTCAGAAGTTAAGCACCCTTGGGTTCAATTCCTAGAACCAACCAACCAACCTAACAAACATTCCTGATGACTTTCTTATACATATTCACATAACATCTTAGGCCCTGAAATCAAACATGCCTTCCCACTAGGTATCTTGAGAGTAGAAGTTTTAAAATGCATTGCTAGACAAAAGCTGATCAGATCTGAAAATACTAACTCTGATTAGTAATTATGATAAAACTACGGACATTGAGGATTCCAGCATCTGCAAGGTCACCTTGATCTAGCCTAAGTGCTGGGACACCTCTGAATGGCACACTTCACTTTTTAATGACTGGAATCTGAGGGCTTCTGCCACTGCCCCCTGGCAATTCTGCTACAGTTTGATAGTAATAATAATGGGTGGGTGGGGGGCACAGCTTTCCATGGGGCCACAAAACAAAAGAGGCTTGTTTACTCTAAACCAGTGTTGATCACAGTTGGGTGACTTTTATAACTGTCTCTTCCCTTCTCATGGTGGTAACTGAGAGCTACTTTGCAATATTTGTGTTTTACTCTTGAATTTTGTCCCTCCAGGTTTGATGATTCCTGTCTTCTGTGTGGTGGAGCAGTTGGACAGCTCTCTCGAATATGACAACAGAGAAGAGCACGCTGAGTTTGTGTTGGTGCGAAAAGATGTGCTTTTTAGCCAGCTGGTGGAGACTGCGCTCCTGGCCCTGGGATATTCCCACAGCTCTGCAGCTCAGGCCCAAGGTATCACTCCATTTCCATCTCCCTCTCTTCCCCAGCCTTCTGTGTGTCATGATCTGAGAAAGAATCTGTTCCCTGAAATAGCTCTCCCAGGTAATTGTATCCCAGGGTTGAAGGAGAACTGTGAGGTGGTGTAGTGTCTTTCCCAAACAGTGAGCAGCAGGATGTTTCTTGTAGAAAGTCTCATTTTCTTGTTGCTTGGGGAAGCTTATGAGCAGCACCTCTAGAGCTGCTCAAACTGACTGTATTTCAAGATGACCTTTATAGGATTTTTTGTGTTCATAACCCTAGTATTTTTAAGTCAGCAAACCGATACTTTTAGGGACAGTGCTGAGATGTTTGACACCTTATTTATCCAGGTTTTAATACATGTTTTACAAATATTCAGTTTTCTAAATTTATTTATTTATTTATAGCTTTTGGTCCCATCACTTTTGCAGTTTATGATCAGCCTTTAATTAAACAGGAAGAAATGGATGTCTCTTACCCTTTTGTGTCTTGGAAAATTGTTTTGTAGTTTTGATGTGGTCCATTCATTTAAAAAAAAATCACAGTGTCTTTGTAATCACTTCCTTTTTTTCTATTTAATTAACTATTAAAATTGCATCATTATTTCAATGTTTATTATATAATTATAGGGAGCCCATTGTGAGCTTCTGTTGTTTCATTCTGAAACACACAGCTCATTGTTCTTTTATGCCAAAGAATTGACAAATAACAACAAAAATGCTGCCCAAACCTTGAATAATTGCAATGACTTTTTGACCTGATAGAATTACTATTGTTTTTCAGCTGAAATGATTGAATGGTATAGTTTATGATGATGGTTTTTAACTAATAGAAATATAGTAACTTCCAGGCCTCATCTTATATGTTAATTTCCTACATTACTATCTTTACTTAATATTTATGTGCCAGGGAATTTTGCTCTTTTTTTTTAGTTCTTCATATCATTACTAAGAAATGTCATTCAGAGTCTCATATTTTCTGATAGGGAACCCATGGGAGATTAAGCATTTATAGTTATAAATATGGTGACCAAGGACATAGGATTTAAATTCTCAAGCTCTTGACTTTGGTTTTGTAAATAGATCATTGATTTCATTGATTTTATTAAAAATATTTTAGTTCAACCACAAAAGCAACCCATATGAAACCAGGGGTCAAGAATGCCTTCTTCCCAGGGCAGTCAGCACCCTACGAGTTCCATTGAGTCCAGGCACAATTCAAGTCCAAGTGCTTGGCCAATCTGTGCAGTTGACACAGCTGAATCGTAGAGTCCAGTGCTTTCAAAGCAGCGTGATAAAAGATGATTCATTTCCTTTCCCCGACAACTTTCATTCTTGTGTGAGGGATTCAGGATTTGATCCTTAGCAAATTGCATACTGGGCACCTTTGCTTTTATTTCATGCTATGTGCCTGAATGAAATAAAAGAATCCTCCCTCCCTTCTCCCCATAAACTTTTCATGCCATTTTAGGGATATTTTTCTCTGAATGTAAAGGTCATTGTATCCCACTGCTTACATCCTGGTGTGCCAGCTTCCTGTTGACAGGGCTATCCATCTCAGTTAGCACGGCTGCTCAGCGCATCGTGAGCTCACATGTGGAACACAGCGCTAAGTGGCCAAGATTTGATTCTTGGCACATGCCGAGGAAAGAGGCTCTCAGGAAATTTGCACTAGGGAGCCACACTGTTCTTTCAGTGATGTGGACTGAGAGTTCTACCCACGGAGGTGAGATATACTAGCAATAAATATGGTTAACAATGAAGGATTAAGTAGGGGATGAGTCAAAAGCTATTTCCCCCTCAAAGTTTTTTAAAGCTCAGGTTAAAAAATATGAAATGTCACACTTTCTGTAAGTTGAAAGAAGGTGCTCTGGATCAGATATTCTTCAGGTTGTAGGTGAGCAGAGGTGTATCTCTGAGTCCTGTAGTATAATTTCACAGGGGAAAAACAAATCACAATTTGTTTATTTTGTTTCAGGCTGCTGATCTCTGTTTTGGATAAATGGAAAAACTTAGAACTGTTTATTTTGAAGTGAATGTATTAGATTCTTCTTGTTACTTGGATCATTAGAAGCATATATTTTGCTGTGTGTTTATTATAAACCAGATGGCATGCATGATAAGACAGGTCATTCATGAGCTGGACAAACAGCAGTGTGAGAATAAAATACAAGAGGAGGTAGAATAAAACATGACTCTTTGATGATTCAAAGCATGAGGTTTTAAGTGTGTAGTTTTTTTTTCTTCTTTGCTTTGGTTTTGTTGTTTCTTTGTTTAGTGTTTATGTGATTCACCCAAGATAGGGGAGTTGTCCAGGGTCCCCCTAGCAGCAGAGAAGCTGCAGTGCTTCTCAATCTCTTCTTCCTGTGCTGAAAAAGTTAGGCAGAAACTAAGCTGCAAGGATAGTGGTTTGCTTGATCCTGTTTTAAAAATTGAGGCTCTTAAAACATGATTTTTATTTTGATGCAATAGAAGAGATTTCAGTTATTGAATTGGAAGAATATTTCAGTTTCTGTGAAAAGAGAAAGTATTTTAGCAGTGCCATCATTTTGGAAAGGTGCTGGAGTCCCAGTGAGCAGGCAGTGCACCAAGCTCTCCTGAGCAGGAAATAGTCTCTTCTTCTGAGAGAATCTCTCTCCAGGTGAACTGTAAGAATTTTTAAAGAAATAATGTTTGCTTCTAAAGGATAGTAGAAATGCTACTAAAACAGTTCAAAGATCCCCTGCCCCCCACCCTGCCCACCTGCATGTTTGTGGTAACTTTCATTTGAAGGCCCGATATTGGGACCCAAGAGAAAAGAGGGTATAAAATACTATGGTTCTAGCTGGCCCATCCCCTTCATTTCCTAACATGCATTTGGTGACTCTGATTCTCAAGGATCCAAGATGCAGGATCGTCAAGCCTGTTGTTTCACACATGCAAAAAGCTGAAAGGTGGCAGGCTTTTTGCCAGTGCTACTTGGGGGAGCATCATAGTCCCTGTTGCTCTCATTTTAAACTTACTATTTTTTTTTTATTCTTTCCTTTTCATACTTTCCTTTTGGCCCATGAAGCTTTTAGTAATAGCCATGAAGTTCTTCACACAGTTCTGTGATTCTCAAAGAAGGAGCTGCAGTCTTTTTTTTTTTCTTTTTCTTTCTTTTTTTGGGTGGTATTAAGGATTGAACTCAGGGCCGCACATTTGCTAGGCAATGCTCTACCACTGAGCTACATCCCCAGGCCCCAGGAGCTGTAGTCTTTAGGAAGCCAACTAAGTAGCTATCCTACTGGTCAACGTGGATGGTGGGCTTTGGAGGTGGCTGTGATTATAAGGTGATATTTTCTGTGCTTACCTGACTTAATTTTTAAGTGGACACTTTCTCCTCTGCTTTCTGTAAATTTTGAAGTAAATTTTAAAACATTATTATTATTGTCATTTTTTGGGTACCTGGGATTGAACTCAGGAGCACTTGACAACTGAGCCACATCCCCAGCCCTATTTTGTATTTTATTTAGAGACAGGGTCTCACTAAGTTGCTTAGCATCTCGCCATTGCTAAAACTTATTTTTGGCCAGAGAATTTTATTTAAAAATCAGCATGCAAAAAAAAAAAAAAAAAAAAAGAACATGCAGAGCAATAAATAAGCAAAAATCTTTTCTGCCTGAATATTTCTGGCGTCAAAACTGTAGGCTTAAGAAGAGGTATATTAATCATTTCTTATTTATGTTGGAACAATTACCTTTATATAGTCATTTTAAATAATATTTTTAAAAAGTGGCACAGGAAAATGTAGTAAATTTTAAGTAAATTAAGCAGGGTGCCAAATAGTCTCTGTTGTATAAAAATCCCACATACATACATAGAAGAAAGACAAAGGAAAAAACATATCAAAATGTCAGCAGGATGGGTGGTAGTGTTATATGAGATTTTATTCTAATCAGAAAAACAAATATGTAGGTACAGTATGAAATTCTACTTCCTCTGTGAATTATTCTCTGAAGAAGTGGGAAGTTATAATTATTCTCTGAAGAAGTGGGAAGTTATACTTTTTATTTAATACATAATGATAGTCCCAAATATAAGCAATTCACCTTGTTCTTAATTTATTCATAAATATGAAAACTTACACGTGGTACAGATGTATTTATGTTGTTTATTCAGTGCAAGATTAAAAATGAATGAATAAATCACTAATGAACCCCTATAATAGATAAGTCAAGGGGTTTCTTAGTTTTAATAAATAGTGCCAGGTGACAACTGAGTAGTTACTATATGTCAGGTACTATTCTCAGAAATTTACATGTACTAAGTCATTAAATTCTCAAAATAGCTTCTTGAAGTAAGTTATAATATATTTTCAATTTTATAGAGAGGACACTGAAGCAAAGGAGGGGAAGGGGAGTACCTTTCTCAGGAATGCATCCTGGTTTGTAGAAGAGTCCATATCTGAAGCCTTTGATCCACCTGCAGAGCAGGGTCCTGAATCACAGAGAAGCCTTATGATTTTTATGATTCTCAGCAGTTTAGATTTGGAATAGGAGTCCCCTCTCCACCTTTTTTTTTTTGGTACCAGGGATTGAACCCAGGGGCATTTAGCCACTGAGCCACATCCTTAGCCCTTTTAATTAAATTTTTTTTTTTCTTTTTAATTTTGAGACAGAGTCTTGCTAAGTTGCTTAGGAACTCACTAAATTGCTGAGGCTGGCTTTGAACTTGAGATCCTCCTGCCTTAGCCTCCCAAACTGCTAGGATTACAGGTGTGTGCCATTGCACCCAGCTATGAACTGCTTCTATTTAATATTTTTTCTCTTTACTTTTTGACATAAGCCCTAAATGGCAGGACCTTTTGGGTAGGGTGTTTATTTAATACATAATGATTATATACATTTGGTAATGATATTACATATGTTTCCTTTCCATGATGATACTTTTTTTAAGGTAACTAAGACAGACTTAATTAAAAACAAACAAAACCCCCACCCCCACTGAATTATTATCTATTGAGACCAACTTCTA